GTCTGTAAGAAAAAATAATAGCCCACCAGCTTTTAATAGGCGAGCCTGTATTTTTCCTTAAATTCGATGCCATTATTTCATAATTTCCTTTACTATATTTGACACTGCATCACAGTCTAAAATCTATAGTGTTCAGTAAGATTGCTAAAAGATCTAAACTTCCCATGATCAAACATAATCTGTGTATTTAGGAAAAAAAAAATCAGTCCTCTTGTCTCTAGTTTTGCCATTTGTCTAGCGAGAAAGGAAAATACAGTTTCACAGAAAACATACAACTGAAAATTCCAAAGTACATTAGTGATCCTGTGCCCTGTTTTCTTTATGCAGCTCTCCAAAGTCTGCCTCTTCTATAAGTTTTCACTCTCTTAGAACCCACGTGAGGTCAGATTGATGGTCATTTTAAGTTGCACAGGTGAGGCATACCAAGATCTAAATAAGTGGGTTTCTTTTCCCTAGGTATGTTAAAATCAGATGTTAAAATCAGAATGTTCACAGATGTTAAAATCAGAACTAGTTAGAGAGCTCTTTATCACTCATCTTTTTATGCATTATTTTTTGTCATGTTATTGCACCCAAGATTTGGCCACAAAACAGATGTGACAAAATTACCAAGTTGCATTTTGATCTCACAGGCCAAAACAAAACCTTTGATAAGAAAAAATCCATCATATAAGTAGTGGAACCTTCACAGTAGCATATAAATTTTTATGAGTGCTCCAGAAAACGTATGCTCTATACAACCCCTTCTAAACCAAAATTCTGTATCTGCCATACCACGGCTTTCTCATATAACTTATGACATGTTTTTGTCATTCCTATAGATTTTTTTGATACATGGACAGTGTTTTTTATTGGATGCAAAAGACATATTCAAAAGGATATTTAAGTCTTTCTATTTTTATTTTCACTGTGTTTTTTTTCTTTTTTTTTCGTTTGGTTAGGGGTTTTTTTCCTCTCTGTTTTTCTCAGCTAATATAATACAATTGATATCTTTATTTAAATAACTGTCCTGAATTTTCTTTCGTTGCATGAATCTTTACTTTCCATTTATTTACTAAATAAAAAGGAGACATGGCTACACCAAACCAGTTCTTTCCAGTGCTACACTGCAGTTGTATGCAGGAGGCATACTAATTTTCCCAGACTATAAAAAGTTATTGTAGCTATTTTTCTCCATAAGACCTCTTTGTTCACAAAACCTATCCTGTTCTTATGAGTCTCAATTTTCAGAGAATGGACACTGAATGCACAGTGATATCCAAAAGCGATTTTGTGGAAACTCTATACTTTTTACTCTGGTTTTTAACTTGCCTTCCTGTGGAAATTAGGTTTACACAATTACATAATTCTCATTCTCAGTCCCAACAAATCTTGAGCCTGTTGGACCATTTCATCCTGCTGTAGCTGAGTGCCAGGCTGCTCTGAGTTAATATGTTCCAACCAATTTAGAGAAAATTGCTGGCAAGGTACAGAAGAGAGCACAGTTTTGGGCCTATAGCTAAGGGAAGTAAAGAAATAACTCAACTTTCATCATTTACATGGTGCAGAGGCCTGACAGGCAGTATTATATGTAGATTTGAGCAATACCTCATGTATTTTCTTTGCCCAGTCAGAACAGTTATGGATGCTAGAGGAACTTAAAGGTAAGTGAGAAGGGTAAGCTAGCAGGCGTGGGGAGGGTTAGAGGAGCTGAGGAAGGGGAATAGGTGACAAAGGAGAAATCTGAGAGTCCCGTGAACAGTTTTAGGGAAACAGTAAAATCGATTCTGTGCATGGGATGCAGAGTGCAATGGCAGTGAGACAGGGAAGCCATGTGAGCTGTATGAACAGAGGACAGACACAAAAATTTAAAAATCAGCATTAAATCCATGGAAGGACATCAGCAGAAGATTCACTGAGTGGAGCTTTGGGAGTTGCATTGTGAAGCACAGTCATATTTCTGCCAAACAGTTATCTAAAACAGATCAGAGAATCAGGAATAGATCTGACATGGCTCAGAAATGATATATGTGGAGAATTGCTTATAATCAGCCTATTCCCATGAGAAAAATGTTTGTTTAAATGAAGATGCAAATGATGTGACCAAAAGGGCAGATCTAACCACTTCCTGCATATTTTTAATTCTTCCAGGAAGAGGCCCAAAGCCCCTGTACAGCAAAAGTCATATGTTTTGTATACTTACGTTTAGAATGACTTTTCATTAAAGTATACTCTGAGTCAACATTCAATGTAGTAATTTTGAAAGACTTCTGTCCTGTCTGAGATCTAACAAACAGATATTCTTTGCAGGGATCAGTATGGAGGTTTACAGGCTAGAAAGAAAACTAGTAAACTGCAGTATGATAAGCCTGAGAGATTAATTCCGTTTTAAATTAAGGACCTCTGGCCAGCACTTCCTCTAAGCATGAAACAAACTTGCTAGTTTTTAATAGCAATGTGGATAGTATAATACAGAGAGTGCACCACCCCAGCTAAATAATCCAGCAATAACGACATCAGGCTAAGTGAGAATCAACCAAAAGGACTGAATATAATCAAACCAATTTCAAATAGTATGGTAATGGTGAGATACTTCCAGCAAGTAGCCCAAGTCCTAATCTGTACTATAAATAAACATTTGTCATGACACAGACACAAACTGAATTTATACTCACTAGTAATTTTTTTACTCCCACTGTAGTTGTAAAACTATACCTCAATACAAAACTCGGGATGAGAAGCAGAATTCTGAACAATGAGAGAATTATGGGGGGTCTGAGTACATCTCAATTCTTTCACTGAACAGCCAGCAGCGTGTGGCCAGATTCATAGAATCTTCCTAGTCATTGTTTCCCACATTACCTCAATGCTATGGGACCGACAGCGTGGCATAGCTTGGGATGGGGATGGCAAATGGTAAGAGATTTATGCTTGGGGATGTTCTCTACTGCTTGTCAACAGGGCCACAGATGTGGGAACAGCAATCTCTCAGTGAAAGCTCTGGCACGATGCTCCTTCTAAGTTCTGTAACTGTGGGAGAGTAGCTAGGGATACACTAGGGGGTTAAACAGTAAATAGTATTAATGCACGTGATGGATTGGAAATAGCACACTGTTAAAAACAGTTCTGAGAAGGTAACTTGAAACAGAAGATACTTTGGAAGCTGAGAAAGGAAACAAGTGAAAAGGAAGGCCAGACAAAGGTGCGCATAACCTCCAGGGCTCTACAGGCAAAGTGAAATCTGTGCCTGTCTCTGTATGAGTGTGTATTGTAATATAATAAGGTGAGACCATACCTTTCACCTCTCAAAGATGGGAGACTATGGCAAACTGCCCAGCTCACCCCACAGTCTTCCTCAGGTGGCCTCGGTATAGAATCAGAATCAGATTAAAAGACAGAATGTATATGTGGATGCAAAAAAGTACTGTTCTCTACCTAATGCTGAAGAAGGTGTAGCAGACTGACATAGAAAAATATTCTGTAACTGAGCATCTTTTAAACTGAAGAACAAAAAGATGAAGGCAAGGTTGCCTCTAAAGCCGTTAAAAAGGGGAAAATGCTTACAGGTGAGAGGTTTTTCAAAACCTGCTGAGTTCTGGTCATGCTTATTTTTAATAATTTCAAATTAAAAACTAACTTGAAATGAAGAGAAGTTATTGTTATTTCATTGCTTAGGCAAATAATATGCTTTGTACTGGAAATTAAGACATTAAACATACATTACATCTATACAGTCACTGGAGACTCCCAGCATCTCCCAGCTGTACCTGGGTGTTCTGCTGACCAGGAGTATTTGAGTGCTTTTTGCAGTAGCATACCATAATCTGGGGTTTCTTGGCACTGATATTAATTGTTGTGCCCACATATCCTGCATCTGTGCCACTACAGTCACACAAAACCATTGAAAACCCACATACTTCAGATGAAGCTTCCACTGCTGTGTAAAAATGCCTAAATCACACATATGTACCTTTCCATCACCTCTTCTAATTCAATGTTATAGGGCAACTTTAGGAAAAAACCAAATGCAATTGCATTCCAACGATTCCCACCTTCAGCTAAAGACAGCTGCTTCTATTCCCTTGCTAACTACAAAGTAGCTATAAAGAGTGCTAGACCTCAGCTGAAAAAGATTTTTTTTTAAGAAATAAAAAAAGAGAAAAAAGGAAAAAAGGAAAAAAAGGGGGAAAAAAAGAAGAATAAGAAGCTACTGTTCCCGTTTTCTCTTACAAATGTGCTCTATTTATACCTTAGTCACAGCTGACAAATAAGCACACAGGTTATAGACTTTGATTAATACAGCATGCAGAAGAATATAATCTATTTTCATTTTATTGAAAGGTATATTGCAAAATTTTTTTTTTTTTGTCAGTACAGTGCTTAATGCATAGCACACTTATTTTTACCTTAAAGCCTAAGGTAACATAGTTAACATAATAATTTCAGCCCAAAGAGGCAGTAAAATATAAATTATCTGTTAGACTCTCCTTACAGACACCCACAGATAAATATCATAGAATTATTAATAAAAAGGAGGTAATATATGAAGAAAAAGAAGAAAATTCTGGTTTAGCTGTTGAAAGTTGTTTATATATGTGCTTTTGCTACACTGTTTCATAAGATAAAATCATAGTTTAGTCTTAGAGCTAGGATTAATGCAAACTAAGGCTCAATGCTTAAAAATGCTGCATTTTTCTTATTATCCATTAGAAAAAAAAAAGGTAATAAAGAAATTAATTATAGTAAACTGGGATATTTGGGATAAAATAGAACTATTTCACAGAAAGTGATATTTATAATTATTTAGGGCCTAACTGTAACTAATTACAAAAATAAATAGATGAAAATAATATTGCCCTTTATTATTCTATATTAGAATTTCTGGATTCCAGGATGTAAAATTACTGGGATATGTATACTGAAGGAGAAGGTTAGATAACACAGAAAGAAAGTGATGCCACTGAGGAAAAATATTACACTTATATAACACAAAAAAATACTATTTAGTATTAAGGAAGCTATTAAGGAAGGAAAAACTCTTGTATCTGTATAGTGCCTGCAAAGCCTGGAATGCAACAGTCTCTGCAAATGTACATACCCATTTGACACCCCACATTCCAGAACTCTTGAGGATTATAATTTGAAGAGTTTGTTCTTGTTCCTTTGGGATAGATTCTTGTAATGAATCTTGCAGTATGTGAAACAAACTCTTTAGCTGAAAAACAGGATGATAAAACCTTGGTAAGAAAATTTCATTAATAAAGATAACCTATTTGAATAAATAATAATAAAAATATAATAATCTGATCCATAAATTAATTTTTTTATACTAGCAGTATGTCATAGCATTGTATTTATATCTTAGGACATTTCTATACATGTTAAGATCAGTATATGGGCCACTCTGAGATATGGCTGAAATCATATTTTAAAACCTGAAAATGTGATAGTATTTTGTGTATATTTGAATGTCATAGTATTTCTGTCTACAGTGCAGACTTTTGTTAAACATTCAATAACTAAGAATCATTCCTTCTTGAAAAAGTTCTATTTCTTCAACATTTTGTTAAATAAATATATGATTTTTATACTAAAGCCCACTGTGTTCTCATGGAAAATCTGAAAGACACAAAACAGGCAATTGATCAAAAAGCCCACTCATTCTGTTATAGTTCAATAGGAAAAAAAAAATCATCCCAAGATGATCTTAGCTTGATTGCTGTTTTGCGATTTAAATAAAAAGAATGAATAATCTCAAGACAAGTGAACAACACATTTCTAAAAGACACTTAATTGGTTCCTTTATAATCTTCAGATGTTAATTTTTCAAGTGAGTCGATGTTGTTCCTCCTAACAGTGTTCCCTCCCACAAAGGCATAAACTAAACAGATGTGGACAACTTCAGATGACTTCTATCTGCACTCTTCCTCTTTAGCAATTAAACAGAAAGTTTTACATTTTCAGGATCATCACTCTGATCCTGTCCATCCTCCCTCCCCCTCCTTTTTTTTAAATAAAACTACTTCTACGTTCACTAGATTGCTGGAGGGACAAGCGAGGACTCTGATTATGGACGGCTGGCAAAAACCTACTTGTTTTGATGCTGTGAAGCACCATTCAGCTAACCAACCATTGAGTCATCTCCACGACATGGTGGATGGCAGCTGGGCTGGCCCTGAATGAATGGGTCTTTGGCAGACTTCATTCTTGTGATCTCTGTTCTTAACATTCCCTTAAGGCTGCTGGCAGTCAGCTGGACTTAAAACAGCGGAGGCTGCACTGTATTTGCTGCACCAAATTGAGAAGCTCCAACACAGAATGAGTTTTGAATAACCCGACTTGGCTGGTACGAAGACCTGGTCCAATGGAGCAAACTGCCTGCTATGGGGCTTATTCATTCCGTCAATGCAGATTCTCTTATCTGCAGTTATCACCAAAGCTAGGGGTACTGCACGCCCAACGCCAGTGAGTACTACAAACCACACATGGGTGCGATCTATTCCAGACACTTTCAAGTATTGACGGGAACTTCTAAATTATTTGATGCAGAAAACAATAAATCAAAAGGTATTCATACATTTTGTACACTATGTTAATACCTGTTCTTATAAAACTACATGAAATTAAAACAAAGGTGTTTCAACTTTCCTCACAAAACCAATTGAAATACAAAAATGCAGTGCAAATGGTGAGATATTTCTAAAACAATGTTATGAAAACAACAAAAATGGACTGGACAGCATGTATTTTATACATTTTTAACCCTTCCAATGTCTAAGCAGTGAACCATAGTAACAAGGTAACTTTTATCAGATTAAATCAAAAGAAATTACCTGAATGTTTTACAAATTTTCGTGCTCGAACCTCTCCAATTGAATTATTTTCATAGCAATTCTGATTAGCTAGGGAATGCTCAAAGCTCACAAACTTCTCAGATTTGGTATAAATCACAAGGTCCGACAATGCAATGGCAATTTTTATCTTCTTCATCTAATAACCATAATATAAAATAATGAAAGAATAAAAAAATCATAATAACACATATTTCATCATTATTATTATTAATTCAGAAGTAACTATCATTTTCAATGCATAAAGCATGGGAAAATGTGTTCCAATTAATATCTGAGCTTAAGATATGACTTCAATAGTGAGAGTTGGTCCAGTCAGAGACAATTAAGTTCATTGCCTCCATGTTCATTACAGCAACTGTAGGGTGAATGGAGAGAAGTTTCCAGTGCTTCCTGGCACAGTGGTCTGTTGGACAGCTTTATCATTTCCCTGCTTCTGAGACTGGTATGTAAATTAACATAATTTTTCATGGCTCTTAACATTACTCATTCAAAATATATGTCCAACTTTATATTCCTAAATAGGTAAAGTACTAGAAAAGGTATACTGGTAGGAAGTACTTGGAGAAAAAAAAAAAAGCAGGAGAATCTATAGCATCAATAGCACAAACTCAACTACAAAATGTAGGATAACAGGAGAATATTTTACTGTGCCAAGCAAATCAATCATAGGTATATTCCTCCAAGCATTGCTCTGAAGTTAGGAAAACTTGATTCTTCTTAATTAAGATGGAAAGTTCTTTGCCAAATTCTTTGTTTAGTCTTACTCCATTACAAAAGCAAGCAAAAGCAAAGGCTGCTGTACATTGAACCAACTGAAATTTCACCAGGGTCTTATCTCTTACACTGGGGTACTATGTGACTGCTTCATTTTACTTAGCATGAACCTGTGAGCTAATCAGTGGTAGTAGCCAGCAAAGAGCTGATAGTACTAATAATGTTTACATTTCATTAAAGATTCTGAAGAAAAATTATCATCTGACAAAATAATAGAGATTGCCTGCTCGTGGCTCTTAAACTACACAAGGTTCAAGAGCATTAATTATTCTGGGGGTATGCCCCATGAGGAGCAATAGGAGGCATGGAATTGCTGAATAATCACAGAATCATTAAAGTTGGAAAAGACCTTTAAGATCACCAAGTCCAACCATCAACCCAACACTACCATGACCAGTAAACCATGTCCTGAAGTGCCATGTCCATGAGTTTTTTGAACACTTCCAATGATGGTCACTCCACCACCTCCCTGGGCAGCCTGTTCCAATGCTTGACCACTCTGTCCGTAAAGAGATTTTTCCTAATATCTAGTCTAAACCTCTCCTGGTGCAACCTGAGGCCATTTCATCTTGTCCTATCGCTAGTTACTTGGGAGAAGAGACCAACACCCACGTCACCACAACCCCCTTTCAGGTAGTTGTAGAGAGCGATGAGGTCTCCCCTCAGCCTCCTCTTCTCCAAACTGAACAACCCCAGTTCCCTCAGCCGCTCCTCATAAGACTTGTGCTCCAGACCCCTCACCAGCTTTGTTGACCTCTGGACATGCTCCAGTACCTCAATGACCTTCTTGTAGTGAGGGGCCCAAAACTGAACACAGGATTCAAGGTGCAGCCTCACCAGTGCCGAGTACAGGGGCACAATCACTTCCCTACTCGTGCTGGACACACTAGTTCTGATACAGGCCAGGATGCTGTTGGCCTTTTTGGCCACCTTGGGCACACTGCTGGCTCACGTTCCGCCGCCTGTCAACCAGCGTCCCCAGGTCCTTTTCTGCTGGGCAACTTTCCAGCCACTCCTCCCCAAGCCTGTAGCGTTGTGTGGGGTTGTTGTGACCCAAGTGCAGGACCCGGCACTTGGCCTTATTAAACGTCATTTAATTGACCTCAGCCCATTGATTCAGCCTGTCCAGATCCTTCTGCAGTGCCTTCCTGCCCTCGAGCAGGTCAATACTCCCACCCAACTTGGTGTCATCTGCAAACTTACTGAGGGAGCAATCGATCCCCTCATCCAGATCATCAACAAAGATACTAAACAAGACCAGCCCCAAAATCGAGCCCTGGGGAACACCACCTGTGACCGGCCACCAACTGGATTTAACTCCGTTCACCAGCAGTCTCTGGGCTCGGCCATCTAGCCAGTTTTTTACCCAGCAATGAGTAATAATACAATGCTCTGGACGTGGAAGGCCAAAGCCAACAGCATCACTAGGGTATCTTGGTTGTGGATTTAAATGCTCTCCCACCCTCCAATGGAGCAATAGAGTAGGACCCCAGAATAAATACTCCCACTCCAGTAGAGTGGGACCCAGGAAACCATTTTTTCTTCTGCCTGCAAAACATGACCAGGCTACTTTTGTTGCTGCTGTTGATCAGGATGTATGTGTTCTGGTCTGTAACGTGATGCTACAAATACATGTGACCCTATTATCTGGAAACTTGGCCTTCCCTGTTCAAAGAGGACTCCATCCTTCCTCGGAATTTTTCCTTACCATCTCTCTATATCAGAAGGAAAGAAAAAGAAGCAAAGATATTAACCTTCAAAATACTTAGAGAAAAGAAACACAGAGGAAGAAACACTGCCTCTCAGCAAAAACATTGAGCCCTCAAAAGCATTGCTAGTGTATCCACATTCAGTTAGTCAGAGCATGATGTGCCAAAGTGAGTGGATACTGGGTGCTTCCTGCCTGCTGAAAAAACTTGAACAAAACAATTTGAACCCTGATGGAGTAAGAGATTTTCATGGCAGAGAATTACTACTTGGTTAAAAAAATGAGTAAGTTCAATTTGACTCCTAAGAAGAAAATGACATCCAATTTTTACATTCTCTCTCAAAGATAGTATTTAATGTTAAGTCCCTACATGATAAATGTAAAAATAGCTTTTCTATTATAAGTTCTTAAAAATATTTTAATGCAGCCAGAACTCTACACCTAATTTCATGCACAAACACAGAACAGAAGAACATAGGGTAATGGGAACTCTTCAAATTTTCCATGATTGACTGGTGGACTGTGGGAAGAAATAAATAGTTGTCTGTCCTTCATCACCAGGAACTGCTATGAATGTTCTCCATGATAGCTCCAGGAGGGTGTTAAGACCAACAAAGAAGTTGGGCAACTTTATCTTTGATCTATTGTGGTATTGAGCACCTGGGACAAGCACAAGACTTGAAAGTGAAAAATGCAGGTAGAGTTTAGGATGGGAGCACAGGGAAGGGTTGCTTTTTAGTTGGATACTAAAATATGCTCCAGTTTGGAATATCTTGTAAGAATCAGGAAAATTTTGAAACTCTGAGCTAAAAAATATTTCAAAATATGTTGCTCTAAGTAATTTTAAAGCCTACCTCTTAAATTTAGTGCCTATTTTAAGATAATACATTCTTTCTTTTTTAAAAAAAAGCTGACATACATCTATGTGTTTTCTAAATTCAATTGAGGAAAAAGTTACCTTTGCCTTTTTTCGTGGTGGGGATGAAGGTCTAAATTCACTTTTTCTTTTTGAGGAATCACTCTTTGGGTGAAGAGGGGTTTTTTCATCAGTCTCATCTTCATCAGACATATTTTCGAAGTCAGAAATTTCCCCTGTCTCACCATGACTGTCATGATCTCTCCTGAGCATACCTTCTTCAATTGTTCCAACTTTTTTATTTTTTACCAGAATTTTGAATTTTAATGCCTGTAGAAAAGAGATTAAACAGTAGTAACTAGAATTATGTATGGACTAATTGTAGGTTTTCTTACCTAGATATTGCTTAACCCACCTTCAAAGCTGTTTGTTAAGTATAATCAAGTGAGGTAACACAATGAAATGGATATTGGTGAGGCAGAAGTTAAAAGCAAGTAAAACAGAATCTGGGGATCAAAGTACACAATAGAATGTGAATTTCTAACTTCATGACAGGAAAAATGGCACTCTACCACACAGATACACAGATGATGAAACTGAGCAAGATTAAGGTAGGAGTTAGGAAGAATTGATGTGCAGGTAAGACATAGGAGGTATATTTTTTTTACTATGCATGAATTAATTTTTATATAGAGACTTATAGACACGTATCTGATATTAATTTGAATGTTTTTTAGCTAGCATTGCAGCTGTTGGAACCTTGTTGCCCTGTTTGATTAGTATATTTGTGCACATCTGTGTAGCACACTAAATTAAAACTTTTGTTGTTATGTCATGTCATTATACAGTGGACCCTCATGCTGATCTTACCTGGTCAGGGAAATTAAGAGAGTTTGGTAATTTGCTGCCTAAGCAGTTTCTCTGTTTTTAAATGGGCATGTTTCAACTGCCATAATAAAGAATGTAGGAAAAAAGATTCATTAAATATTATTATTTTTAATAAGATGGCTTTCATCTATGCACCTGAATCCTAGGGGTATAAATTTCCCTTATATTTATGAAATAATATTCATATTACGACAGCTGTTATGTAGCAGACATGCAGCTCTACCTCTGTACACAGTAGCAGGACTTACTTAGGTTCTTGGATAAAGTGATCCACAAAAATATTCCTTAAATTTCATAAGCACTAGTGGAAAGGAAGGATATAACTACTGGGAAGGTTGTAGAAACACAGAACAAATACTTAAATATTGACCAAAAGATAACTGAAATATTTTATTTTAAGGTATCCATTAAATAATTATGAAAAGCATGGATGATAGAAACATATATAAAACCAAAATTTTATAATAGAAAGTAGAGCCATAGGCAAAGAAATAGATATTCAATTCATTTACATTGCAATCTCCATTGCTGATAATTCCCTTATCACTTCAGATCTTGTATTAGTTGTTTGTCAGTGTGCCAGTGGAATAAGATATCCTATGCTTAATATCTATCAATGCCATGCTAGTGTAAGATTTGATAAGTATTTCTGCACTGGTGATTCAGAATAAGGATGCCCTTTAACATTTCCTTCATTTCTTATTGATGCACTCATTTTTTTTCTGTGATATTTTTAGAAGAGTTTTAATATGAGTAATGCTACTCATATTTTAGAGAGATCTGAGTTTTCCTTTGAAGCTTCATATTTCCCAATATTTAATTCTATCACTTTTGGTCTTGTATTTTGTTATCCATAGGTAAGATTTGATTCTACAAATTAAAAAAATACCTGGTATACAAGGGAAGGAAAACCTTTCTACGGATACATTACTGCCTCCTATATGTAAACCTGCTTTAAGTTAAAAAAAAGACCATAGTCGGTGTCACCATATAAAAATGGGCTATGATGTTTTAAGTCAGATAGTTTCTAAAATTCTGTTTATGAACTGTTAGCAAAGATGTAAATACCTTGAGGTAGGGACAAACATTTCTTTTTTTTTTTCTATCAAGACAACATTTTAAAATCACAGCTCTCTTTTCAAAAAGAGTTACAGAAAATACACTAGCAAGAAGAAATTTTGCTATTTTTTGGCCAGAAGCAGATTCCAATAATAGTTAACCCAAGTCACTGAAAATGATCCATGAACTGAAAAAGACATACTACAGATTTTAAGTCTAAGCTTCAAACAAATCTTCAAAAAAACTTATGATGACAAATGTATGGTTACAAAATCAGTGACTATGTGAAATTCAAGTTTTTTAATTGGTAATCAGCAGTGCTAAACTCATGGGACCTTTTTGTACAAATGCCTAAATCAGTTAAACAGATAATGAGCTGAAAGTTTGAACATGCACTATAATTTCTCCTTTCTAGTTTAAGTACAAAATACAAAATATTTTAAAGATACATCTTTACTGTGTACTTATATATAAACTGTAAGCATACTAAAAAATTAAATATGTAAAATATATTTGTTTTTAAATTTATATCTATAAAATATATAGTTAAATATCTTATATATATTATATATATTTATATTTTATAATATGACAAACATATTTACCCCAGATCTAGGGATAATGGGACTTCAAGGCTGGCATAAGCAAAAGCCTCCAAGTACAATCAATTGGAGCAAATATTTAAATAATTAAATGTACAAAACTTAGTTATTGTACTAAATAGGCATTTTGGTTAATGTGATGAGCAACACAAATCAGAACAGCTGAATTAATACAAGACTCCAAGACTAAATCACAAGCACTTTGGAACAGACCAGGCAAACCCACTTACTAATCACTGCAATTAGTGTAAAAAAAGACAGAATTCAATCCTCAGAAATTTAGAGAACAAACTCTGAATTTGGGTCATAAGTATTAAAAAGAGAAGGATAGTTTCCCCTATTTAAATTGAGCATGTTCTCCTCTCTTCTCATCTCCTGACCAGGTGCAGGTGCTTAGTAAGAAGAATATCAAATCCTGAAAATCTTGCTAAGTAACAAGGTTAAAAAGAGTTGAAAGTTTTACATAATTTTCTATTTCAAGAATTATATTACAGTCTTAAATACTGATATAGGGTAAAGATGCAACACCTTCTGTGAAGTCTAAAATGGGGTAAGCTTTTGAGGCATTGACAAAATTTATCTTGAATTAAAATAACAGGACACTACTATTAAGTACAACTGTTTAAGAAACCCCACCACCAGCACTCTTCAATCATTCAAGAGGAGAATCATGCTTAATGAAAGTGTGAATGGATGTCTTTGTGGCAGGTGTACAAATCACAGTTATTGAGATATTTCAAATCAATACTACCAGTAATGTCTGGGCTCTAGTTAAATGGATATTAATTATATCAGAAGCACCTTTTTAGCTATCTCATAACAAGCTTTCATATGACACAGGACACAGTTATCTAGTGAGAAGTTCCCTACATTGAAAATTCCAGTTCTGTGTTGTGCTCTGTAGTAGACACAAAATGCATGTGAGAACCTTTCTAAATGTCCTTTTATTAAAAACACAAAAAAGCAAAACATGCCTAAAGAAGGAAACTGGGGTGGTGACACTGGCAGACTAATTTTCTGGATGAAGTGAAAACCTGACAGAATCTTGAGTAAAAAGTATATGTGTTCTAAGAAACACTCTGTCCTTAAAAACAATTTTGCAAAGGTACTATGTCTCATTCATCTGTGAGAAAAATTCCCACTCAGGAGACAAACTTCAATGATAAAGAGAGGATCAATTTGCTAATGGCTCAGAGGCTTGACCTGTTAGAACTGTTGGCAGTAAGGTCAGATCCCATTGGAAAACAGAAATCTTAGCTGGCAATGCCTTGTTCTGTTTTACCTGAGGACTCCATCAGACATAAGAGAAATATGAAAACACACATAGACTTTCCATACCATGCAGTCAAAAAGGCATCTGAAGATGGTTCCAGTGCAGACGATTTTGCATTTCTTAGAGACTTTTAAGGCCAAAAAAAAAAAAAAAAAGTTGTCACTGCTCCACAAATATTTGCAAATAACACTGTTAACCAACCTGTTGTTCATGGCTCAAGAATCTGCAACAACTCAGAGAGTAGCAAGGGCCATCAGCTGCACAAGGTGACCCAGGAGCTGAGGGTGACAGCAGGGCAGGCATGGGGAAATGAACTCACCAACTAGAGGAACAGTCAGACAAGTAGAGCAGTCTGGTGATGGTGAGCAAGTTCAGGAAGCAGTCCAGTGACTGCCAGATAAGTCATGAGGCGGGTCCAAGGTCAAACCAGGAAACCATATTGTATAAGTACAGAATGGCTGAGTTTGGAAGGGAACCCTGGAGAACATCTAGTCCAACCCCCTGGTTCAAAGCAGAGTGAATAAGAGTTAGGGCTGTGTCCAGGCAGATTTTGAGTATCTCCAAGATGGAGGCTCCATAATCTCTCCAGGCAACCACCTCCAGTGCCTGACCACTCTCACAAGAAAAATTCCTTTTCTCACATTTAAATGGAATTGCTTGTATTTCAATTTGTTTACACTCCCTCTAGCCATTTCACTGTGCACCACTGAGAAAAGTCCCAGCCCAACCTTGAGAATCCAGAAATTTTATAATAAACAATACTGATTTTCCTATTTTTGAGGTCATCACCAAGGCATGCTACATTTTCAACATCTTTCTTCTCATTTTTGTACACAATAGATGCCATAGACAAATTGAAAGGCAAAAGAGTGGACTGTAAATGTTTTTGACTTGCTAAGGAGCAAAGATATTTCTGATGCAAAGACTTGGTCAAGACATTTGCTTATGTGACTTGTAGGCCAAAATAATTGGAATGAATCTTGTTACTGAAGCAATAGAATTAGATATGCAAAAGCAGTCTTGATCTTGAATTTCTACGTGAAAATCTTCATGTCCTACTTTTTCAATAACAAGAAAATAAGACTATAAAACCCTATAAAGATACGGGACATGAAAATTTGGAGCCAGGTACAACCAAGTTTGTCAGCGAGACATGTCTTTACAGAGAAAGGAAGGGAGTACAGTAACAATATGAATCTTTTAGACACACACACAAATATTCTATCTAGATGTTGAAGACTGTAGTACTGGTTCACCCAAGACTGGTGCATTCTGGAAAAACAGTGACTGTTACGGGAAAATGGTGACTGCATATGGAAATGTCCTTTGTATATTGAGTAGGTACAAGTGAAGAAAAAGATGAAGGAGGAGTCCTGGCTATGAGGTTAGTTAGTTTTCTCCCTGATAATAGGATTTAAAATGCCCAGGAAGTGTAGAGTTGTACTGGAGACCTTCTATGAATCTTTCTCAAGGAGATTATTGAATAGGTCTTTTGTTTTAGATAGCAT